CCCCCCCCCCCCCCCTGTACACGCCCCTGGACACCGCCGCGCGATGATGATGATGATGAGGCAACGACGACACAGCGATGAGGACTGAGGGGGACTCACTCTCTTACTCAAGTAAATACTTATTACCGTTTATTTCTGTATACGAGAAGTAAGGGAATCACTGTCTTATGCACTTTAGCAAATGTTTATTTTAACAGGTGAACAGTAAACAGTGACCAGTTAACAGGGGAACACTAAAGATTTGACAGGTGGGACACTCACTGTCTTACATATCATGTACATATTATTACTGTATAACTATTATATATACTGTGTACGACAATTAAGCGAGGGCATCTCCGACTTACTTATAGGTAAACACATCAAATGCATACCACGCTACACTACAGTAATACCGAGAAAGAAGAAGAGGAGGAGGAGGAGGAGGGGTGCCACCCCTCCTCCTCCTCCTCCTCCTCTTCTTCTTTCTCGGTATTACTGTGGAGGGATGAGGAGGAGGAGGAGGAGGAGGAGGAGGTGGTGGAGGGAAGGGGAGGAGGATAAAGAGGAGGAGCAAGCAGAGGAAAAAAGCAGGCGAGACAACGCACCCGTGTGCACGTGCCTGAATAACATAACATACTTGAATCCGTTCAAGAGGTCCTTGCAGATGGAGGAGGTGGAGGGAGGGGAGGAAGAAGAGCAGGATAAGGTAGGAGGAGAGGGAAAAGAAAGACAAGGAGAGAGCGCACTTGCAGACATAACATACTTGAATCCGTTGATGAGGTCCTTGCAGAGGCCGATGTTGTAGCAAGGATTTGGCGAGCATTCGTTGATGTCGACCTCGCACTGCGCGCCCTCGTACCCCGGCACGCAGCGACACTCATACGCTCCCAGCTGGTCGATGCACGTCGCGCCGTGCTGGCACGGGTTGCGGTTGCACTCGTTGATCTCGTACTCGCAGCGATGGCCGCTGTAGCCCGCCGCGCACCAGCACACAAAGCGATTCTGCAGGAAAGAGAGAGCGTGTGCATGCGAGATGTGTGTTGAGGAGTGAGAGGAGTGAGAGAGAGAGAGAGAGAGAGAGAGAGAGAGAGAGAGAGAGAGAGAGAGAGAGAGAGAGAGAGAGAGAGAGAGAGAGAGAGAGAGAGAGAGAGAGAGAGAGAGAGAGAGAGAGAGAGAGAGAGAGAGAGAGAGAGAGAGAGAGAGAGAGAGAGAGAGAGAGAGAGAGAGAGAGAGAGAGAG